CAGCTTGTGCTGGGAGGATTGTTTCTTCCAGCTGGGATTTGTCTCACTTCCACATGCTACAAAATCAAATCTGAACTGCTCAGATGTTTCAGAGCTTCTTTGTCTACCTTTTTAAATTTGTCTACTTTTTTTTTTTTTTTGTGGCAGTGTCTCTTGCAGGTCAAATAAAATAATGTTATTTTCCTGCTTTGTGGGCATCTATCGTAGAATCATAGAATAGTTTGGGTTTGGGTTGGAAGGGACCTTAAAGATCATCAAGATCCAAACCCCCCTGCATGGGCAGGGACACCTCCCACTAGAGGTTGGTCAGCTCTGTTCCTGGGTTTAGCCAAGTGGTGCTTTTAGAGCAACATTAGAAAAAAGTTGTGTTAAGATCATGTCCATATCAATATAGAGGGTTAAAGAGGAGAGGTGGTTGAAAAAGGAACTGTCCTTCTCTTTCCAGTCAGGATGAGAGGAAGAAACGTACCTTCAGAGACTACACAAGTCAGAAGATCACTCTTGAAGCTGTCCTGAACACTGTGTGCAAGAAATGTGGGTGCAAAGGTGTGTCCTTCAACATTGCCTTCTTCTGTAGCCAAACCAGGCACTAACCTGTAGGTAGGATTGGGTTGACATCTGTCTCATGGTGGTGTCTTGCTGTATAAGGACTGAGTTTTGCTTCCCCGTGTCTTAGAGGACAACTACATAGTTGAGAAAAAGGAAGATTCAGCTAAACTCCTTTTATAGATATTTTTAAAATAAATCTCATCCTTTAGGGGGCCTACAAGGCAGCTTGGGAGGGACTTTTTTCAAGGGTTCATAGTGAGAGGACAAGAGGAGATGGATTAAAATTTGAAGAGTGGAGGTATAGATTAAGTATTAGAGGAAAGTCTTTAGTGTGAGGGTGGTGAGACACTGAAAAAGGTTGTCCAGAGAAACTGTGGCTGCCCCATCCCTGGAGGTGTTCAAAAGCAGGTTGGATGGTGCTTGGAGCAATCTGGGCTGGTGGGAGGTGTCCCTGCCCGTGGCAGGGAGTTGGGACTGGATGGTCTCTAAGGTCCCTTCCAACTCAAACCATTTAATTATTTTGTGATTCCTGTAAAGAACCTTCCCTCTGAGGGTCAGTGCAGTTTCCCTTCTTGCAGTGTTTGTGTTACTATGTCTCACAGCCAAGGGCTCATTCCCATGTTGCATTTTAAAAAAGAAAAATACTTCACCAGCTCAGATCATTCTGCAGAACCATCAGTGGAATCATAGAATGGTTAAGCAGCAGGATGTTGGCTTATGTGATGCCTTTTTAAGAGCTTGTGCAAATTGCTGAGGCATAAAGTAATTCTTCTGTACATGGAGCTTTTGCTGCACCCTACCTGTTTTATGTTATTTAGCTATAGAGTAAATACTGAATTGAAGTTCATGGTGTTCTGGAGAAGGTTAGTAATGAGCATTGTTCTCTGTAGTGATAGAAAACTACCTTTAAAATAGCATTTAAAAAAAACCCCAAACTGAACTGGATTGTCCATATTTCCAGTCTGCTGTTCAATGATGATACCTATTCCTAACAGGCAGGGAGATGTTGTCTGTCAAAGTCTCCACTACAACTGTTGGTGGGTCAACCTCAGTGTCTCCAGACTAGAAAGGGTAGAACCAGAGGAGCTGATTTCCTCTATATTTGTGCCATTGGTCTTCTTTACTGTGTGCCTGTTACACCTGTTAACTCCCTTTTCCCATACACTTTTCCATGCTGTTCAAGCCCTTGTGCAGCCACATTTCTACCAATTGCCCTTTTCAGGCAAGAGTCCCTTAGTTTTTTCCTGACTGATCATTCCAAAATGCCCTGGGTTGTGTTTGCTCCCTGTTTGTTTAATGAGGGCATATGAAACAAGCTCAAATGCTAGGACAAAAAATGTGCAGTGTAGTTTTATCTTACTGTGATTAGTAAAGATAAGATTATTGGTGGCACTTCAAGTGTCTGAAATGCAGTTTAAAAAAAAACCAACAGAGGTGGGTTGCTCCATCAAACACTGTTTTACAGGTCATTTTACCAAGGAGTGTTTTATGCAGCCTGGAGGTACCAAATACAGCCTCATTCCAGAGGAGGAGGAAGAAGAGGTGACAGCAGCAGGATGTGAAAGAGATAAAAAGACCAGCGGGGCTGATGATTCTTCAAAAAAAAGGAAAAAGGTAACAAGTGCTTTACTACTGACCTGGAAAAGTGAACTAGATCCCTTGTTCTATGTAGTCACAGCTGGGGTTTGCTACAGCAATGTGGTTGTGAGCAAGTGGCTCAGTTTTGTGCTGATTCTGTAGACTCCCCTGCAGACGTTTTAATAATTCTTACACTTTCTGCCCTTATTCTCATAAAACTGTCTTTAAGGTGCTTTTGTGCTGTCATGCACATTCTTCAAAAGGGATTTCTTGGAGTGAGAAAAGGATTGATATTTTTTCTTTCCTGGACTTTTTGGGGCTCTATAGAAACTGCTTCATTTTCCTGAATTTCTGTGGTTCTTGCCAGTGTCTCTGTTTCCCTCCCTTCCCACTGCTCTTGCCCTCACACCTTTCTCTCCCCTGGCTGCCCTGCTCAGTGGGTGTCCTGCCTCAGCCAGCACTCTGGGAACAAGGCTTATCTGCACGTACCAGGGGAAAATCACTACCTGTATTTGCACAGGGAGAGTACTGCCTTTCCAGGCTCTAAAGCAATAGTTTTCTGTGTGAAAATGCCAAGAGATAAGAGACCTTTCATGTCAAGTGTTTGAACTCTGGCTTCAAGGTGTGCTATTATAAAAGGTAGGGGATTGCTGAATCCAAACCAGCAGCTTTTGGTGGTCAATCTGTTTATACATATACATGTGTTCTAGATCTAGACTTCATAGAGTCATAGGGGTTGGAAATGACCTCTGAAGATCATGAAGTCCAAATGCCAAGAGATAAGAGACCTTTCATGTCAAGTGTTTGAACTCTGGCTTCAAGGTGTGCTATTATAAAAGGTAGGGGATTGCTGAATCCAAACCAGCAGCTTTTGGTGGTCAATCTGTTTATACATATACATGTGTTCTAGATCTAGACTTCATAGAGTCATAGGGGTTGGAAGTGACCTCTGAAGATCATGAAGTCCATCCCCTGCTGCAGCAGGAACACCTAGGGAAGATCACACAGGAACATGTCCAGACGACATGAGAAAGTCTCCAGAGAAGGAGATTCCACAGTTTCTCTGGGCAGCCTGTCCCAGGGCTCTGTCACACAGAAAAGAAGTTTCTCCTCATGTTGAGGTGGCTGAAGTTTGGCTTCCAGTCATGTTTTTCACTGGTATTATGGCTTCTGGCACTTTGGGACACTTCTGTGAGTGGCTGGGGATGTTTGTCTTGGGGAAGACCTTAGAGCACCTTTCAGTGCTTGAAGAGGCTCCAGGAAAGCTGGGAAGGGACTTGGGAAAAGGGCAGGGAGGGAGAAGACAAGGGGGAACAGATTAAAACTGGAAGAGGGGAGATTTAGATGAGATATTAGAGGAAATCTGTGAGTGTGAGGGTGGTGAGAGCCTGGCCCAGGTTGCCCAGGGAAGATGTGGCTGCCCCATCCCTGGCAGTGTCAAAGGGCAGGTTGGATGGGGCTTGGAGCAGCCTGGTCTAGTGGCCCCTGCCCATGCAGGGGGGTGGATCTAGATGGTTTTTAAGGTTCCTTCCAATCCAAACCATTCTATGATTGTGTGTTTGCCCTCCAGTCAGTACAAAATGAGGTTAGTATTAATTCCACATCCAATCTGCAGTTGATGTTTGCCCAGGAGTGCTCTGGATAGTAGATCCAGTGTCAGGAGCAGGATCTCTCTTGACTGTAGATCCTGTTGCCTGGTTCCACCCTGGGATGTGCTTTTTGCTGCCTAGCTGTGTAGACTCTTGTTCAGGAATGTCTTGGGCTGGTCTGTGCAGCGTCGTTACGCTGTAGCGGAAAACACAGAGGCTCTTGTGCCTCTCCTGCTCTCCCAGGCACGTGCCTGAGCTGAGGTATCTCCCAACTCCCAGGCCAACTGCCACTAACCTTTCCAAGCTCCAGACACTGGGCTTCCTCCTGCCATGGAGCAGTGTGAGAAATATTGGTGATACCTGAGCAGGGCTGGCTTCTCCTGCCTTGAGCTCTCTTCCCCGTAGCAGCAGTGATGGTTTGGCTGGTAAAAGCTCATATAACTGTTATGTAAATGCTGTGGGGAAAAATCACACTAAGAGGTGCACAAATAACTCATTATCGTGTCAGTGCCCAGCCTCCAGGTGGGGTCTCCCTGTGGAGTCTTGCCCTGCTGAGACTCCAGGATATAGGGGTCACTGTCCTGAATTTGTTACTCATTTTTTTTGGTCTGTGGGTTAACAACCTTCCTTTAAATCTTGCTCGTTCCTTTGATCTTCCTCCCTTCTCAAGGAGGAGATCAGAAGTTTTCAGATGTTTTCCAGTGCTGGAAAATAAAACTTTGAGCTTTCTGGAGGCAGGATGTGGGATCCTGGAAATGAATAGCTCCCTTGTTGTCTCAGATGCCTGCTGTGATCTTGTCTGAGTGTCACCATGTGCTTCCCTGCTTGCCTGGAGCCCCGGGGGGATGTGCACAAAGAAGAAATAGCTCAATCTACCTTCTATCAGTTGCCTTGCTGACCCTGTCCCTTCTGATGTTTGTAACATAAATGTAGAATTTACTTTTTGAAGGAGTTGATGGGGAACTGCTGTCTTATCTACCATTCAGTGTCACAGCAACAGTATTAACATCTTTGGTTGTTCATGTTCAGTGTTTTCTGTTTCCTTGAGCTGATGCTTCCTTGCAGTTTCCAGATGCTCTTTCTTCTCCTTACAGAGATACTCTGGGGTCCTCACCCCCTTTTTCCTGAGCTTGCCTTCCCAGTGGTTCTTCAGTTCTTTCACTTTCCTCCCGCCTGAGCCCCACAGCATTTACAGGAATAAGAATCACATGGGGGCTTCAAGTCCAGGAGCCCCCCTCTGATCTACTCTCCTGTCTGTCTTTCAAAAAAAGATCTGCTGTTCCCACAGAGTAACCCCTTTAATTTAAATTCTACAAAATCATCCCATCTCCTGCTGAGATTCATTGATTAACTCAATTACCCCTGGGCTAGTTTCATGACAGTCACTGGAATTGCATGGTATATGTGACCTGTGATGGCTTTTTGGCAGACTTTGCTTTTTCTCCCACCATGTGAAAGATTTCCAGGCAATCTGCTTGCAGATGGTGTCTCTTCATGTCAAAGCCCCACCTTCTCAATTCCTGTTTGTCTGTGACCTGTAGTTCATCAAGCCTTAGTCCATCCTCACTTGTAGCTGGTACTTGTTTTACTAGTTCTTAAATGACATCAGCTTAGAGCACAGCTCTTCACACACTTTGCTCTTCTCTAATTGTCCTCTCTCTGCTTTTCTGAACTTCTCTGTGTTTGTTTAATAATCACAGGCTGATTCTTCTCCTTGGATTAATTCTGACTGGTTTTCAAACAAGGGGTGCAATAATACCTTTAGGTTTACGTAATGAATCTTGATTGGAATTAAACTGGGCAGTGGAATTTTAACTTTTTTTTCTTTCTAATAATTAAAAACCCTAGAATGAATGCTGGCACCTCTCTGGAGAGGCAGAAAGACACATTTGAAAATCTGTTCTACTTTCTCACAAGGACAGACATAAACTCTCCTAACTCCACAAAAAAAGGTCTGGTGAAAAATAAATAAAGTTCTTGGAGAGTTCTGGACACTCCCTTCTTATCTCAAAATCAAATACCTTTAGAAGGAATGAACTGTTGTAACATTCCTAAAGCCTAGCCCAGAGTAACCTTCCTTACAAAGAAGAGGAGGGAGCCTGTTGTGAGGCCACATCTGGAATGCTGTGACCCAGAAGACAGGGAACAGCTGGAGAGAGTCCAGTGGAGGGGAACAAAGATGACTGGGGGATTGGAGCATCTCCCTGATGAGGAAAGGCTAAGAGAGCTGGGACTGTTCAGCCTGGAGAAGAGATGGCTGAGGGGAGACCTTATCAATGCCTGGAAGTATCTAAGGTTGGGTGCAGGAAGGATGGAGCCAGACTGCTCAGTAGTGCCCAGTGATGGGACAAGGGGCAATGGGCACAGGCTGGAAAGCAGGAAGTTCCACCTGAACAGAAGTTAAAACTTCTTTACTGGGAGGGGGACAAAGCACTGGGAGGGGTTGCCCAGAGAGGCTGTGGAGTCCCTCTAGCAAGAGGTTGAGCTAGATGATCTCCAGATGTTCCCTCCAGCCCTGACCGGTCTGTGTGCCATCGTGGAGCCCTCTTAGTGCCAGCTTCTTCACAGTACCTAGAGCTGTAGAACCATTGATATCAGGCTACAGCTCAGCCTATGGCTCTTCTGCATGCCAGTTCCCAGCATGGGCTGTGAGTTGAGTGATTTTGAAGCACGTTGATTCCTTTTCTGAAGAATTGTGATGGTTACATACATTGGACAGGAGGTGCAAGGAACTGGAACCTGCAGGTCTTCATATTTGTTGGCCCTCTGCATCATTGCACTGTGAGTCTGCTTGGGCAAAATCCACTCAAAATGTTGACACAAAGGCAGTATTTGCAGTTCTGGGGGAGTGTCTGGGTGTGCCTGGGAGCTGAGATCAGCTCCATCCATCAGCACCTCTGGGTCCTGGAGGGCAGTGGAAGTTCAGGGCAGGGCTTTGCTGTCATCACTGGAGGCAGAAATCCAGCCTGTGCTTTGACACTGCCCTCTCCATATGTAACCTAGAGACATGCTCCCACTTGCAAAGCAGTGAGTCCACTGCTAAGCCTAGGAGTTCACTGGGAGCCTTGTCTCCCAGAACTGGGATGTTGGAGTTTCAAGGAATCCGTGGTGTAACAGGAGGTGCAGTCTGGTTTCATAGCAGCACGACCTCCTGCTACAGAAAGTGTGAAGCTCTGGCACTGCTGCCTTCCTCTGCAGGGTTTGCAGTCCAGCCTGTGCTGTGGTGCTTGCAGTTCTGCACTGGAAGCACTTTTTCTGTGTTGGTCAGAGCAGTTTGTCTGGTAGAAGCCCCCAAAAAGGGGAGACTGAGGGTTTTGCGGGGGTTGTTCTTTGTTGTTTTTTTTCCCAACCAGCACAATGTCCACGTGTGTACTTTTATTTCCCTGTAATCCTGAAGGGAGTGGTGTGACATCCTGTCCTGTCTTCAGCCTGAGAAAGTTTCCCAAGCTCTGGAATGAAACTTTGTTACTTGTTAAGGTTTTGTCAAACTTTCTCACCATGTGCACAGGCTGGAAAAGCTTGAGAAACTTCTCCTTGCTACATCTCTTTCTCTAGAAGATTTAACTCTTTCTCATCCTCCTCTTCTAAAGACTGTTACAATTTGCTTCTGCCCTTCCTCTTTGTGTAGGGGTCTTTGTAGTAAGTCTGGTGTTGTCCCACAGTAAAATTTAGACTGTCAAATTTTGGGTGACATTGGTGATCGTAGTGCAATTGTGAAGCTACAAAAAATGTGTAACTTCTAAGGGTTGACTTGATGTGGGGTGAACTCAATCCTCTGCTGTCTTCCCTGGAGTTCTGGAGGACTCTCCACTTGGTGTTCAGCTCCAAACCTTGCTTTGTCTTTGCCCTTCCACCCCTCCCAAAAAGTGGTTCCATTTCACATTAAATCAGCTGCCAGCTCCCTTCCTTTGTTGTCCCTCATTGATAGCTGGTATCTGGTGCTACAGTCCATGCTAAGTGGATGTCTTTAGCTGGACCTTTTGTGTCCCCACTCTTCCAGGAGGATGTTGTTCCCACATGAAATGCAGGCAGGATGGGCTTGTCTTCCCGTAAGCCAATATATTAGTCTCCATGTAGAAACTGCTCTTGTCTGGAAGTGGCTGGAGCTAATGGAAGAAATAAATGTCTCTTGGGAAGGAGCGGGGAATCCAGCCTTCTCTGTGTTCCCACTTCAGGACATTCCTTCTTCTCCAAGCAATTTGAAGGTGATTTGCCCTTCAGGGGAAGATTATGGGTGGCACTGGGGGGCTATCACAGCCCTATGTCCTTGCTGTTAAACCATACCTATACCCAGCATGGACTTGGCTTTGAGGTGCTCACAGGGCTTGGTGTGAGCTACCTGAGCACCTACAGGCCCACAGCAGATGATGCAGAGTTGGGATTTAGGACTCAGTTACAGCAGGGAATTCCCCTCCTTTTCTTTGCCTCATTTTTCATGCTGTGTTTAGCAGCTGCTTCTGGCTTTTGTTTCCAACAGATGAGTGCTGGTTTCTCAGCTTGGAGTCTTCTGGGTGAACATGCACATGCAGCCATGTCTGGGGTTTCCTTCTGTGAAGTGGCCTTTCCTCACATGGATCCTTTCCAGTTCATTTCCAGCCAGGGTTGTTCCTTTTCCCCTGGGTGGGGTGGGTGTGTACCAGGCCTGAGGCAGCACCTGTGGGTGCCTGAGTGGGGAGGGAGTGTCTTAGGCTGGACCTACAACACCAGTGTCAGTGCTGGGCTCTCCCCTTCAGCCCCCATGGCCAGCTCTGTGCTGTGCCTGGTTGGGTTGGAGCAGCTGGAAATATCTGTGGACACCAATCACAGGTATCTCTTGTGTGGCTGTTCCCTTCAGCTGCTCGTTTTCTCTCCCTTGGCTCAGCTTCTAGGGTGGCTGTGGATGTCCACAGCAGCTGGCCAAGGAGGGTGGCCTCCCTGAGGACCTGTAGTCCTGTGACTGGCACAACCCTGCCCTTGGCCTTGCTGCTGCATGGCACTAACAGCCCTGCCAGGGCAGGGGTGACTTACAGCAAATGTCTCCCAGTGAAACTCTGCAAGCCCAGGGGTGGCCTTGGGGTCATTTGGAACACGCTTGGCAAAGAAAAGAAGTGGAGCTGTTGGCCTGCAGGCTCCAGGCTTCTCCCATTACATTCCCTTCCATAGTGGAATGGAAAACACATTTGTGTGTGATGTTTGGGACTGTCACTTGACCACTGTCCATCTCCCATTGTGCTGCTCCCCACGGCCTGTGCACAGCGACCCCCTGAACAAGCTGTCTTGAACCTCTGTTGGTTAGAGGTGGGGGGTGGAGGCAAATGTGGCTTCTTGTCTGCCTTAGCAAGGGTCCTCTATACCTCCTGGTATAGAGTGCAAGTCCTATGAGGAACATCTGAAGGAAGTGTGAGGGTTCAGCCTGGACAGAAGGAGACTGAGGGGAGAGCTTCTTGCTCTGCAACTGCCTGAGAGGAGGTTGGAGCCAGAGGGAGTTGGTCTCTGCTCCCAGGGAATGAGCAATGGAACAAGAGGAAATGGCCACAAGTTGCACCAGGGGAGGTTTAGACTGGGTATTAGGAGAAACTTCTTCACTGAAAGGGTAATTACACACATAAAGGGTAATTAAATCCATGTCTTGTCAGTTTGGAGACCAGGATGTTTTGTGGGACAGTCTCATACCCTTTACACAAACGTAGAGGATGTCAGTTGCTCTGTCACCATCCACCATCTCTGAAGCCTTGTCATAGAAGGCCACCAAATTGGTCAGGCATGATTTGCCCATATTGGCTGTCACCAGTCACCTCCTTATTTTCCATGTGCCTTTACATGCTGCTTTTCTTCCCCAAAAGAAGGGGAGAAAATGTCTCCATTTTGCAGGACAGTAATTTCTTTTTTTAACGCATCTTCCTAAAATACACCTGGAAAAAATACCTTCTGTCTTGTTCTGAGAGTTGGTCAGTGTGATAATTCGGGGGGTATTCAGGGAACTAGAAATGTGAGTTGAGCTGGGATCAGATTGGGATGTTTGCTGGTTTGTGACCATGCTGGATGATGCCTCCTGAGCTCCTTCTGTCCCTGTCACTGGGACCTCTCTGCTCAGCACTGGCTGCCTCCAGCACCCACCCACAGGCCTTTCCTGACTCGTGGTGCTTGGAGGGCTCAGTTGGCACTGGGAGCTTCTGTGGGCATTTCTTCTTGCTGGAAAAGGGTGAAGCAACAGGCAGAGCAAGGCAGGCAGCTGGGGCACTGCTTGTGCAAGCAGGTCAGATCCTCTCCCCTGGGTACTGCTTTCTAATTAAATGTACACAAATTGCTCTACTGTGCTCTGCTGAGAGTGGTGAGACCCTGGCCCAGGTTGCCCAGGGAACCTTTGGCTGCCCCATCCCTGGAGGTGTTGAAGGCCAGCTTGGTTGTGGCTTGGAGCAACCTGGGCTGGTGGGAGGTGTCCCTGCCCATGACAGGGAGGGTTTGAAACTAGTTGATCTTTCAGTTCCCTTCCAACCCAAACAATTCAATGATTCTCTGATTTCTCTGCTTGAGGATGCTCTGCCTGCTGCCGTTCCAGGTGGACTGAGGTGCTGATCCCAGGGTAGTTCCTGTCAGATCCTTTTCAGAGCTCCTTGTGAGCTTTACTCCAGCACCAGCTGTTCTTGTTCTGCATCTAAATGTCAGGTCTGGAGCTCTGCAGGGCTGTTACTTCAGGGCATCTCAGAAGCAGCCCAGGGGGGTGAGTGCTGCTCCTGGGCTCTGCCTGTGGGAAGTGGGGAGAGCTGGAGGAGCAGCCTGCTCGGGGATTGTGTAAAGAGTTGCTGCTTGCAAAAGGGCACTTTCCTCATCCTGCTCCCCTCTAGGGAGGGCTGCAGGAAGCTCTGACTGGCATTTCTTTGACTTCCCTGCAAGGAGAAGGGTGTGTGGTCACTAGCGCTGCAGCGCATCAGCGCTCATTTCCTGGCAGTCTGTGGGGTGGTGATGGTGTGGGGCCACAGGGATGCGTTGGCAAAAGGCCTTCATCTTGCCAACCTCTGTTTATGAAGACCTGCCTTCAATAATGGGGTAATCTCTTGAGTGTTGAGTGGTGGCAAAGGCTGTCTTCTGAGCTGACTTAACAGTTTTCAGGCATAGATTCACATTGTGGTACCCGGCGCAGCTGTGGGGCAGAAGCTTCATGCACCTTTTTTGTCCAAGCAGGCTCACCCCTGTCACACCAATACAGAAAGTGTCTTGCTGCCCTGGTGAGCACAAGGGCACAGTTTTCCTACATGCAAGGTTCTTTATTCCTTTCCCTCCATTCACTAGGAGAAGAAGAAGAAAAAGAAGCACAAGAACAAGCAGTCCTCAGAGTCAGACTCGGACAGCTCGGACTCGGAGAGCGATGGAGCTCAGCCAGCCAGCAAGAGGACCAAGCAATCTGGGAAGCCCAGCAAGACTCAGAAGAAGAAGAAGAAAAAGAAGCACAAGAAGAAGCCCCGGGACTGAGCAGGCAGGGGTACTGGTGTTTTGAGTCCCTAGCATGCCCCTTGCTCCAGGGACAAGGAATTTTCCTAGGAGTAACGCTTGGTGTGTGGTGTTGCCTTTGACGCAGGTTGTCCTCTGTTACCACAGGTGCAGGGCACTGTTTTCTCTCACCAATGGGCACACCTGCCAAAACTGGCTCTTTACACCCCTTCATCAGTACCTCTCCTGTCCTGTAGCCTCGTGTCTCACTGTGGATGAGCTGCCAGCACTCCTCAGCTCCCCCAGATGGGCACCCAGCCTGTGTCACATCAGCCCCCATCTTGGTGCCTGTGAAGCCACACAGCCATGCTCTCCTTGCTTGTCCCTACACCAGGCTGGGGTCAGGGCTGGTTGTTGCTGGGCCCTGTGATGGGGCTACATCCTCCCAGCTGTGGAGCTGCTTGGTTTTGGTACAAACCCTCCCCCAGCGTCATTCATTTTGTCTGCAAACAGAGTTAAGAAGCAAGTGGGGGAATGGAGATATTTTAAGCAAACATTGACTGGTGTGTTTGTCATTTTGGTAAGTGGTGGAAAATAAATCTCTCCAATCTCCAGTTGTACTTTGTACTGGGTCTTTTGGTTTGAAGGCTCCACACTTGGCAGAGAAAAAATAGGGCTGGTTGCATGGGACCAGCATTGAAGGGTTTTTGAAAGCCCAGGCTGCTCTCAGAGGCTCCCTGGGGTGGGAAGGGGGTGTGTGGAGAGGTGACCCCTATGAGGAGCCTGGTGCCTTCTACTAAGGAGCAACTGGAGCATAAATCTTGTAACTGGAGCTGAAGGTCAGGGGGAAGGGATGGCAGAGGGCTGGGCTGTCCCACACCTCCCTGCGGTCGCTCTGGGCTGTGGTGGCTGCAGAGGAAGCTTGCTGGGGGTGGCTTGTATGGGAACAAAGGTACCATGGGGGAAGCTGAGCCACTCACAGGGGAAGTGAGGGCAGGGCTGGCCATGGCCCCTTGGTGTGGCAAGAGGACTTGGGGCTGCTGCAGGCAGCCTGCCCCTTTTCCACGTGCTGTGCCCTTTCCAGTGCCTCTCGCCTCAGTTCCAAGCCCCTCCTTTTGGGCCAGTTCCCTTCCCAAACTCAGACCTGATGTGCTTGTGACCTTGACTTTGGCACAGGCTGTGCTGGGCACGAAGCATCAGCTGCTACTTTGGCAGAGCACACCTGCCAGCACGGGTGGCTTTGGCTGAGATGGAGCCTGCCTGGATCCTGGACAACTGATGGCAGAGCTGCAGTGGGAATTAACTAATCTTCCTGCCAGAAAAGCCCATCTCTAACTGTCACAACTTATTTCCACAGAACCAGTGCTACTGAAATCACTGGTAATTTAACCCCATCACTGCCAGGGTGTCTGGGCTGGATTTACCCCCCCCCATGCTGCTCCCCATAGATCCTTGTGGCTCAACAAACACTACAGTTGAGCACACGCCCAAAAATCATTTTTGCAAGTGAACTCAGCACACAGAGCTGTAACAACATGGCCTTTATTCGTTTTTTCCACGTGGGTTATCCCATTATTAATAAAAAAAAAAATCTAACAACAAAACCAAAGCACAAAGCACCACCCAAGCCCCGAGCAGCCCCACCAGGTGTTGGGGACAGGAGACAGCCCTGGTGGGTGCAGGGGGCTCAGAGGCCACGGTGAGTCCTGCCCAGCACGGGGGGAGGACGGAGGCAGTGAGGGGCTGAGTGTGGCACCAGGGGACAGGCTGAGGACCTGGGGACACCATCTTATGTCGCCTTCTCGTAGGTGCGGGTGGAGACGACGTTGCCCATGGTGAGAGTCTGGTGGCAGAAACAGCAGTGGTGGGTTGGTTAGCTGTGCCAAGCCAGGGCAGCCCCCTCCCCCATTTCCCATGTCCTGGGCTCAACCCCCAGCTCCCAGTCTAAAATGTTTTTGTTTCCTTACCAGAATTAACTTTCCATCCTTCAGCTCCCGGACCAGCGAAGTCTCCTTCCCATCCCACTTCTGCACGTGGACAAGTTTGCCTCCTTCCAGCTTGACAGTGGACTGTGGGGAGAAGGGAAGCCCCACTGTTACCCTCCTCTCCATGGCTTTGTCCCCACGGCTGGGGGCAGTGCTGCCCCGTGCCCCTTGGACTGAATGATACTGGGCATCCTTGTGCTCAGCTGGGCTCAGGGACTGGCTGTGGGTGCCTCCCCTGGGATGCCTGCCCAGCAGCTTGTCTTCACCAGCCCAGCTCAGCACCAGCCACATCCTGCTCTGCTCCCCAGTAACCCAGCTGTGGGCACCATCACGGTGCCCCTGCACTCCCTGACCACAGCCTCATCCTGCTCCAGGGCTGCTGGGACCTGTTCCCAGCCATTCCCTGCACAGCTCTGGTGCCGGAGGCGATCAAAGAGGTGGGGCAGGTACTGGTGCTTTGAACCGAAGGGTTTTTGAGGGGGCTGATCCAGCAAACACGCCCCTGCTCGCCGGGGCTGCTGTTTGCTCAGCCACTGCTGTTGACTCAGCCCTGACATCCCGGCTGCTGCCAAGGTTGGTGTGACAGCCAGCAAGGCACACACGGTGCAGGGTTGTGCCAGGACAGGCTGCACCAGCTGCCCACCCCCATCCTGTGCCACCCACCCAGCTCCTTGAGAGCCAGGTGCTGCTCCTTGGGTAGTCCTGCAATGCAGGTCTCCCCCACAGCTCAGGGGCCCCATGGGCTGGGATCCTGAAGCCCATGGCCTGGATGGCTCATTCCCTGGCTTCTGCCATGGGTTGGCACCTCCAGCGGCTTGGATGCCCCCCATGGGTTAGGACCTCCCATGGTTGGGTGCCCCCCATGGGTTAGGACCTCCCGTGGTTGGGTGCCCCCCATGGGTTAGGACCTCCCGTGGTTGGGTGCCCCCCATGGGTTAGGACCTCCCGTGGTTGGGTGCCCCCATGGGTTAGGACCTCCCAAGGTCTCCACACACCTTGAGCTTCCCTACATCTTGGCTCCCTTGCACAACTTGGGTGCCCCACAGCCCTGGACCCCACACACTCTGGGTGCCCCACGACTTAGTGTACCCCACGAGTTAGGTGCCTCACAACTCGGTGTGCTCCGTGGTGTGGTAAACCCCACCTGCCCCATCCCCTGCAGCCCCACGGCTCAGGCAGCCGGCCTGGCCCTGCTGAGCCC